TAGCACAAGTGCTGGTTAAATATGTCAACTGACAAATTTTATTAAAACAAAATAGATTTTACCAGCACAGCTTGAACGTTTCTATCGAATGGTGTATTGTACTCATTTTTGTAAATATTGACAGTTAATAAAAGATCAGGTCAAGAGCACCCCAAACCGGCGTTCTCGTATGAAAAGGTTGAAACGCGTGGAAGAAGCGAAAAGGGAGGTAGGCTCTGCCTACCACGCCGAGCGTGATAGGCAGAGCCTGAAAAGCGTGGCATTACAGATAGATAGATAAATATCATGCAAGCTGGTAAAACCTGTTAATACGTCCGCGATTTAGTCGTGGGACGTTCGTCTAGGTCTTCCCCTTCTAGTGTTTCCTATCACACTCGTCTTATTTTTAATCAGCACATTACAGAAGCAGCTCACTTCAAGGGTCAAATGGTGTGGGGCGAAGTGTAGCGCATCGGCGAGCAGGTGCAGCGGGCGCGCCACCGCGGTGGACGCGACCACGCGCAGCGCCGCCGCCTGCAACCCCGCCCCCCGCGCGCGGCACCACGCGCCGCCGCGCACCGCCCCGCCCCCTGCGCCCCCTGCACTCCCCGCGCGCCACCACACCGGGCTCACGGTGAACGGCCCGCATACCACCGCTCCGTCACATGTTAGCGTCTAACAACAAGCGTGGCATTACAAACTCGGGAAACGCTTTGTCTAACCCGAATGTGTCCCTATGGAATACGAAGCCGCCCCCATGTCGGCCGTCAAGGCTCGCTCAAAGAAATGGGCCATGAGAGAGTGGCGCGCCAGGTACGAGTCCGCCGCGACGGGTGCGCGCACGAGGGAGCTCTTCCCCACCCTCAGCGAGCTCCTGGCCTTTAGGAGGATACACAGAAACGACTTTCATACCACCCAGTTTCTCTCAGGGCACGGGTCGCATTTAGAATACCTTGCGCGGTTCGGTATCACCGACACCGACAGATGTCCTTGTGGGGCGGGCAACGTACAGACCCCCGATCACCTATGGAGAGAATGCACCCGCTTCCAAGAGCTCAGAAGAGAGTATATACAAGAATGTAGGTTTCTCGGGGCCGATGACCCCTTTCAACTTAAATCGTTCGCCGCACTTCGCAAGGGCGAGACACTCGTTGAGAAATTTGCTAATTACATAAAGAAAATTTATACAGAGCTTAGAAGCTTCAACGAGAGGGGCGGCAGCTCTGCGACATCTCACGCCACCACCACCGTTGACTCGCCGTCGCCGCCGTCGTCGCCGTCGCATTCGCACCCTCTTCACGGCGGCGCGGATCCGCCCTGCCCACGACGCAGTGATAGACTTCGAGATCGCGCCCCTCCGTCGAACTCATTCGGCCGCGATCGACGTCGTCACCTCGGGACCGACGTAGATGCCGCTGCCGCCGGCGACGATCGTCATCGATCGGATCGCCCGCTGCGGCGATCGCGATGGCGACGCATAATTCAGTTTTCGGATTCGGACTCGGACGGACGGCCCCTTTCGGGCCCTACCTCGGTTGGATCCTTATCGTCTTTGCCGTCGCCGCTGCGGCCGTCGCCGCCGCCGCCGCTGCCGTCACTGCAGTCGCAGTCGCTGCTGCTGCCGCCGCCGCGGCCACTCGCTGCGTCGTCTGCGACGCTTGACGTCGGCGTATCATCGCCGTCGCCCCCGTCGTCGTCGTCGCCGTTGCCGTCCTCTTCGACTCGACCTCCGGCTACTGGCGGTTTGCTCCTCCGCTACTTCAGCGACACTGGGATCGGTCGTTCGTCGCGACCGAGTAAACTTCGACCGCCGTTATGGGCGGAGTCGTCGCCCGCGCCGACTTTGCGACCTGCCGCGCTGCGGTTTGAGCTGCGTGCTGCGGCGGCGGCTTCGTCGCGGCGGCCGACGCCCGCGTCGTCGTCGTCGCCTTTCAGTAGTCGTCGTAGTTACGTTTCATCATCACCATCGTCACCGTCGTCACAGTCGACGCTGAATAGAGAGCCGACATCGTCTAGGCGCGACTCAGATGCAGACGCATCGCCTTCATCGGACGAAGCGAGCTCGGCTGCGAGCGGACGACGATGACAACAATGACAATCGCAACAGCATCGATGTACACGACTGAAGGTCCGTATAGAACGGACGAGCAGTCTCGATATTCTCGCGGGCCCATGAAATGTGCACGATGACGACAACTACTCGAACGCATCGTACGGCATAGTATCGTTTCGTTCACCATCTTCTCAGCTGATTGTAAACAATTACTATTACCATCGACGAACAGTGCATCGTGCTTGAGTCTGTTTCGCATTCGAATACGCAATATTGATTCATTCGATTTAATCATATATGTAGGCTAACAATAGCTTTTTTTCTTCGTAGTATTATATAATCACTCTTTCTATATATACATATATATGCGCGCGTCAGCGAATGAGCGACTGTCGTGTGTGTCATAATTTTTAAATTGATTCTATTTAGCTGTTTACTATTATCATGATTTGCTACGACCAAACAATTATACTCTTCATTTTGTTCATTTAAGCAAGTGAGGATCTAAACATACACACAAAGATTAGTTCCTACAACATACACCAGTCTCAGTGTATGTGTAATTCAATATCAGTTTAATTTTAAGTTCAACTCTAGCTTTAGTAAAATTTTAAAAAACAAATGACTGTCAAACAGTCATTCATTATTTTTAATTTTTGTTAAAATTTTTAAATTTTTATTTTTCTCACAAACAATGTCAATATTAGTGTTTAATTCAATACATATCATATTTGATTATCATTATTTTCAAATTGTTAACCAATTGTTAATCGTTAAGTTTTCTTTCTTTTTTTTTATATACATAGTTTCTTTCTTTGCAATCACTTACTATTGCAGTTATCGAGCCCATATTCGGCCACTATTATTATTATTATTATTTTATGTTTATATTCATAATTTTAGGCAAAACTTGTATTATATTATACGATCAACCTACTATCAGACACTTTAAAGATTATCTCTTGTTAATATTATACTGTATTACGGCCAGTCATGGCGATTGTTTTCTCTCTTTTTTTTTATATATAGTTTTCATTGTTGATTCTCATTAAAAACAGTTTATTAAATATGTTGAAACTTATCTCATTTAGTCATTGGAATACAAATTATAATTAACATAATTTCATATACCATTTTGTAACTGTCATGTCTATCTTTCATAATTAATAACCAATCTCAAATTGTTATGCCATTATAGTTTTATAAGTTTACTCGTGCTATGATTAACATGTTATGTCATGTAGTACATTAAAATTGTTCTTTTTCTTTTTTTTTATATACAATTACTTATATTCATATACATTCTCATGATTGATCTCAATTTTATATTATACTAAGAAATTATCATATTAATAAAACATTGTAATAACGTTGAATCGATCACACTATGTCATATTTTCCGCCCATATCTTACAACAATTTTGTATATTACACATATAACATCAATAGGTTATACTCGGTTCTTTCATGTTAAAGTCAATTCTTTTTATTTTTTCAAAAATTCAAAGTTCAAAAACATTGTAAGTTGGCGTACCATTACAAGGGGGAAAAAAAAAAAAAAAAAAAAAAAAAAAAAAAAAAAAAAAAAAAAATAACCTCAACCTACATACATTCTATAGATATTACCAACGAAGTACGCCAACTCTCTTCATCTGTCAATCTGCCATGCGGCAGTTAATCTTAGTCAACTTGTCATTATTGTTACAATCTTCTGATTTGTTATGTTTGTGCTATTTTTAATTAATTTATTTGTTACCATGTCACCATTTACCCGCTCATCCAGTCCTTATAATTTCACTATCACTATCCGGGGAGACTGGACTATCCCTCCGCCGGGGGCCCGGTCTCGGGGCACACGAATGCCCTGGGCGGCGAGGTCGGGCTCGGGCGGATGGATGTAGCGGTTCGATTCGATACAATTTAGCAAAGGCACACTCGGTGCATTACTATATATTTTAGCGCAAACTGCGACTACTCATCTTAATTTATATTCTTTATCTTAAAATCAATCTGATCACTGAGCCCCATTGGGGTCACTCGAGCTCCTTTCTTTTCTCTCTTTTATGGCCTTAATTAATTAATTTCTACCATCTTGGGAGCCGAGACTTCGACACCGGGCTGAATCGCCGGCCCGGCTTTCGTCGCGTTAATTCACCGGGACCGTCTGGGGCTCTATTTTTGAATCATTCGTCTCGCGTCGAGCGCTCGTTTTCTACTATCACTCGCATACAACGTTCGCTAAGCGACGAGTGGTTCATACCATTCGTTGCAGTCGAGCGATTTAGAAATGGCGAATTTGTTAAGTCGAACGAAAATCAGTAGAAAACGAGCGCTCGACGCGAGACGAATGATTCAAAAATAGAGCCCCTGGTCGCCTCCGCGTCTGGCGGCCGCCCCACTCCGGTGGGGCGGTCGCGTGGCGCGGGGCCGGCCATCAGCGGTCCTGGCGTCAATTAATTGATTAACCATCACACACACAGGACGACCCCTGACTCTTCTCTTCTTCTGAGATGCTAGGTGCGGACTACCAGCTGGCCTAGGCACTTCTGCGCCTCCACACTTTGTTTTCTTTCCATCTTTAGCCAGCCCTGCGGTCGTCTTGTGAGCGGCGTAGCGATGTCCACTCTTCGTGTGACCCCGCCGCTTCTTCTATTTCGGGAGGACTCCGTGATCGCCCCCCCGCACCGCGGCCGCGGCCGCTTCGGTTGCGGACGGGGGGCGGGGGGGCGGTTTCCGGGACCTCCTGACTTCATTTCGTTCACATTATATCTTTCTTTCGGTGTCGGTGCCCCTAGCGCCCGACGACCCCAGCCTCCTCTCTGGGCTGGGATCGGCGGACGGCGGGGACACCCTCTTTGGGACACCATATATATTTTACTCATCCTTATATATTGTCATCATATATATTTTCATTTCACTATATTGTATTTATTTTCTTTCCTATCTCGGGGGGGGAGTTCCGGGTCCATCAAGAAGTTCGCCGGTCTCCCTCCCTTCTCTTCCGCGCCTCCTCTGTTCTCAGGGGTTGGTACGATCCCCCCTCACAAGGGGGATCTAAAGCATTATGTTCAGTGTTCCATAACTAAGATCAATACAGCAAAAGGCAAAAAAAAAAAAACCCGAATGTGAGCCAACTCGAGGGTGAGCGTTTAAGCCAGGAGCATACACTGTCGGCACAGAGTGATCACGTAGTACGTGGCCAATCTTTTCCTTTACTTCTTTGACATAAGGCATATAGGTTGGATGTCTTTTAGCCTCGGGATGTCTACTCTTTAGTCTCGGCTGCGTCTGTCGTGCGTGCACTTGATATCCATTTTCTTTATTACTTCCGGAACATAGGCCAACTCTTGTCCTACATGTTCAGGGCCACACAAGGCATAAGCTCTGTTCTTCAATGAAGTGTCCACAGATTGCAAATGATAGGGACGGTGATGTGACGTTGCCACATCACAAGTTGAAATTCCAGATGATTTAAAATTGAAAGACACTTAATACGAACAAAAACTCACATCGAGACAGTAGGAGAGCCAAGCGTCCTCAGTGAGTACGAAGAAGTCGGCGTGTTGCACGCTACAGTGCAGCAGCAGCCGCGCGCAGTGCACGTCCCCCAGCAGGCGCGCGCCTAGCTCCAGCACATCACGTCCCGCGCGCACTCCGCCCTCCTCCACCGTGCACGACAATGACGACCACGTCAGGTTGGGGACCAGTACTAAGAGATGGCGGTACTTTTGTGTTAACTGTGTTGTCTCGTTCGGTTCGCATCTTAGCTACTTAATTTCGAATTTGAGCAATGTATGAGATGTTGTTTAAGATCTCATTACTACGTAAAAAATAATAAAAATCTTTAAATAAAACATTAAACCTAAAATATACCCCGTTAAAGTTCCAAGTCATTCAATAACAAGACTAAAAGCCTACTTAAGACTTCATTTTCACCAAAATGTATTCTCACAATAAGAAACGTAATGAATGATAATGCGAAAAGTATTTGGGAAAACTTCTTCATGTTCGATATTCATTGGACTTCTGATGAGAAAAAAAAACTCAGATTACTTTTAACCTGTCTTTATATTTATCATCTTATCAAGCACATATTATATATTTTGATTTCATACGCATATAGGCTGAACAGAATATTTTTTTAACTCCTTCAAAAAAAAAAACAAAGATGTAATATATATAATAAAAGCAACGAGAAAAAATAGTAGTTCCCCGAAAGGTGATCGACAGTAAGGAAAAGACAATAGAGATAAATAAATACAACGAAATTAAAGCAATTGTACACACATACTAATTAACTCACGGAAATTAGCATTTCGCCTTGGTACGATTAATAATGAGCTGGAAACTGGCATACCATTTCATTTAAGCATTCTAAAAGTTGCCTTTAATGTCTTAAGAAGTCTCAAGTCAAAGGTTCTCAGAATGTCTCCTAACATTTTCGAATCTCTAGCTGTAGAAACTATAATATGTTTCAATTTGAAAAAAAAGTTAAATTTGAGTTTCGACTTACTTTCCAATACCGGTGGTTCTATGTAACAGTGTATCGGTACCAGGATACATTTCCCGTTGGACACTCGTATCAACAACGTGTCGGTCACAGCTCGCACGTCGCTCGGCGTGAACCTGACCCGCAGCTCAGCGGCCGCGCCCGCGGACACGGTGAGACCGCGTGGACTGCACAACATCACGTCCAGCTCACGACGCTTCGGAGGCCGCACCGACAGGCGCACCTCTAACTTCGATATGTTCACCAGACGGATAGATTGCTGTAAATTGAAATATCTATCTATCTACATTTTTATCTTCATCATCTCACTAAATTAAATTGTTCTTAAAATAATATAATGCGTGTATTTTCATTTCATCTTTAGACGTTTCTTTGTCTTTTACTTCAATAAATTTTACCTTTAAACAATACTTATTGAATATATAGACCTGAAACTATGACATTATTATCAAAGTAATCATAAGGTTATGAAAGGTAATATCAGAAGTCAAAAACCGGCGTGCGATTAGGTATATAAAGAGTTATGAATGATAACAAAGAAAATATGTAGGATATGTAAAGATCGTGCTTTGTAGCTCTCGTTTCTCTCTGCTATCCCTTTAATTTTTTGAAAAGACCATGTGACCTTATGAATAACTCACTGTATGCAAGCGTCCTACGGTAAAATTGATGAAGTTCAGTTTTGATGGTATGCACACAATGTAGTCAGGAGTTTGTGGTAGCGGGGGTGTGGAGGGTGGTGCGGGTGGCGGCATATCCCTCACTAACATCTCTCCAATACTAATAAATAAAACATATATTGAAAATGAGCATTACAATTTCGTAGGATAATGCAGTACCACAAACGGCCTTATCGCTCATCAGCTATCTCTTGAAGGTAATTTATTTTAAGAAATGAATTAGGTAAAAAAACAAAATGTGTAGTTGTGTGCATAGTTTAGGAGACTAAGCAATGATATATATCCGAAACAATGAAAAAGGAGGAAGTCCAGCAGACGAACCGTATAATAAATAAATAAATATTACACAATATCACATACACTGTTCAGATTCCAAGATGAGTAGTCAAAGCCCCCGTATTATGGAGTATCTGACACAACGAAAGTAACATAACACCCAGACCCGACACAATATAGAAAAGTTCATTTTTTACATTGACCCGACCGGGGATCGAACCCGGGAACTCAGAGACGGCGACACCTTGAAACCGGCGTGCGAACCACGGAGATCATCTGTATGACTGTTCATCAAATTCAAAATACCAGTGCGTTCTCATAGGTAACATATTTTTGATACGGAGAAAGAAGAGAGGCATGAGTGTGTATTTATCTTTAACATGTGGATAATTCGCGGCAAATCGATTTAAATATTTAAAGAACATTTTGGAATTAAAAAAAATCATTTTCTCTGTTGAAAAAAACTAGGCGCTAATGGTCTTTTTGGAGTCGACTCAGTGCCACTTTCATTATTCTCTACGTATAAATACTTTTTCAGCATATTTTGATTCAAACATTTGATTTTTCTGCAGTTGTCCTTGTCCTATCAAACTATTATATATCATGTTCAGCACTTTCGCAATTATTATAGACTTTAAATTTTTTCCTTTTAGAAGGAAAGGATTTTCGTTTCCTTGTCGTTTCCATGTGACGTCTATAATTTGCTATCACATAACATAGTCATAAGTAGGAATATTTTAATTATTACTGTAGATGCATTTTTAATGATCATTTCGCAGTAAATTATTAGAATATTTTTCCTTGCATTTTTGTTGAACTCAAAGTAATCGATCAAATAAAAAATCCGTTCTCACTTCTATGTTATATTATCTTCTGAATCGTACTCACCTCATAGATAGTAGAGAATCTTGATCATTAGGATACAAACGTAGTGGTGGTTGCAATCGAGTTCCTTGCACTTCCATGCAGCTCACGTCACATGAACTCCGGTTTAAAATGCTTCTTACCCAGAGGCTGTTATCGCCTGTACGGTTGATATCAATTATTAGCTGGCAGTGTTATAATTATATAAAGGTACAGTATTAAAGAAAAATATAAGCTCACAATGGAGATCAATTAAAATACTTAGTACTCGTATGTCTGCGCTTTATTGTTTAATCCAATATAACTATGGCATTTTAAAAAGCAAGAAGTATTAGAAAGTTAATAATGAATTTCAATACTTTAAGGAGATATAGAGTCTTTCGTGAGCGAGACATTTTTTAATAACACAACTTCAAGATGTGCCAAATTTTTTGCTTCGAAATTTATGTATTAAATCTTGAAGAACAATTTCTAAAAATACTTCTAGTTAAAGATTGCTATAGCGTGAAAGCAAAATTGATCAAATATGAGAACCAATGTTAGAGGAGTAGTGATACGATTCTCTCAACTACATTTTAAATGAAAATTATTGCTTCTTAATCGATTGCGGTAATTTGATATATCTTGGTAACCTGACGTGCTGCTGTGCTACATCCTACGTATATATAAATCAAAAGAAGCCAGAACTAAAACTGTTGTGGACTGTTGCTTGATCAATCTAGTACTTTCACAAGACGTTTCTACGAAAAATGTAACAATGAAGAGATCCTCACGTCCTGCGTTCTGATGTATAGCCGGAATGAGGTCTTTTCTCGCAATCAGTCCATGCTTTATCCGCCACGCTGGTGTTTCCTTTTGTCGGGGAGCTGACAAATGGTAGATATTGGGCAACGTATCACGAGCTATCCGTCTGGCGTGCTCTTGTTTCAAGTCCTCCTCCTTCCTCCAGAGCTCGTTGCATTCCAGAGAATAGTTTTTAATCTAAAACACAATTGGCAGCTTTTAAATTGAAAGCTAATAAAATGGAATCGGTGGTTTCTATGAAATAAGAGGAGCTCAATGGTTTAGTGGCTAGCGCTTTTAGTCTACAATTTTAGAACGCACGAGTACAAATGCAAATAAGTATTATAAAAAGTCTTTCCCAGTTTTGACAAGCACGTTAAGTGGTGGTTCCGGCTACATCTGCAGACGTTAGTATCTACCTAGGTACTTATGAGAATTGAGCCTAGTGGTGGTGGTTTATTGTTATTATTCTTAATCGTTTTTTTATTTGGCAGACCTGTACCTAAATAGTTGGGACTTTTATAGTCTAAAGAGATTTGATGTGTCGTATTCTTTTAATAATTACAAATATCGTCATCAAAATAGCACATTAATCATGCTTTGAGGAAATAAACTGAACCAAACTAATACCGTCGGCCACGACCTCCGTAGCCTAGAGGTTCGCACGCCAAGGTGTTCTAAGGTCACGCCATCTCTAAGAAACTGGGTTTGTTTCCCGGTCGAGTCAGAAATGAACTTTTCTATATTTTCTCGGGTTTTGGTTTTGTGGTACCTTCGTTGTCTCAGATACTCCATAATAGAAGCTTAAGCTATTTATGGAATTTGAGTAATGTATGTAATATTGTTTAATATTTATATAATATCAAGGAAGCGAAACTCGAATGTAAATACCGTACGTAGAGGATCAAATTAGTCCTTAGTCTTTTTTGCCTATTCCGCAAGGGACCTGGTGTGAAAATATAGAAGACATAGAATAGGAACTAAAAACTAACACCGCTATAAATAGAATTTGATGATCAATCACAAGAATCTTAGGAAATAGATAAATAAGGAAGAAAATACCCTTCTAATTTGATAGCTTTACGAGTACAAAAATTCATTTACTATGTATTGAACTAAGCTTTTGATGGGTGTACAGAATTAGATGCAATAAAAATAAACGTTATAACACAACAACCATAAGCATGCAAAAGGCCGACCCCTACAAAGTAAACACATTTCTGAAAAATTCGTACACAAAAGGCAAAATGAGATTTGCTTATCCAACAAATTGCTTTGTGAAAAACGACAAAAGAATTCTGTCTACGGACTTGTTTGAGAAAAATAAATATGAGAATTTTTTAACAACATTTTTCATCCAAACATATTATTAATGCGAAACTAACTGAACGGACAGAGGTTTACTTCTTGATTTTCGTAACAAAATACTGAATCCATTTTATAAAGCGATAGATTGGGCCTTGGAAAAGAAACTTGACCAAACTTTATAACGAAATAAAAAGACAAAATAAGTTTACACTTTGTTAACATAGCTGATAATCAAAATAATGCTGCAGATATTTGTTTGAAAGTACTATATTAGAATCCCAAAGCTGCTATATTTGCTCCAAATATAAAAAAAAGAATTATCATTATTATACCTCTATGTAAATGAAATCTATAGTTTTTGAATTTTTATCAGCCATATTTTAAACTGAGTATTCGATTTCAGCTTTTACTGCTATTTGTTCTGGATGTATTTTTTTAATATTATAACCATAACTAAACTTGATAATTTACTTATAACAAATATAATACTATGACCACAGGGAAATAAATAGAATATAACATCACAAGTCCATGTACTCAAAAAAATACCGATTGAAATAACAAAGTAACTATTAAATTATTTTGATAAAATTTTAAATAGATATAACATTTTCAATAAATGATTTATCGTTTATTAATAATATTTATCTTCAAATTAATTTGGCTACGTACGTATGACAATAGATATTGTAATTTGAACTAACATTAAGAAATTTGTATTAGATGTACATAATTATGAAAACGTTGCATTGTACATTGTGTACACTTTCTTTGATATCAACATCATTTTTGTAACCACTCTTTTATATAATTTATTATCGTACTAACTAACATGTATTTTCTTGTGTGATTTTGCCTCAGGATATACATCTAGAGAACATCTTACAACACGAGTCATTCTTTCTGTGGACGGGAGCTGCCGACTGCCACTAAATATTTTTTATCGTTTCTTTGACGTAACTTTTAGCAGTTTCTTTTCATCTGTTCTCTTTGTAACATTTTACATTTCAAATTTACTGAACTAATGTTAGTACTCAGAGAGAATGGACGTTTTTCATCGAACATTTCAACTCCAACGTATACTGATTCGTGGTAGTTAAGAGAAAACTGTATTCGTTATTACGAAAGTTATTCTCCGTCGGCAAACTTTAATTGACGCATTATAATATTTCACAGATAATATCCAACTGTTTCTAAGAGAAAATTATATTTGCACATTAATGAGTCGACTATAATAGTACACATATTGTGAGGTACGAGTAGTTTAGTTTAATTATACCTCAGTTAACTAAGATCTCGGAACGGTGAATAAGACTTAATTAATTTTCTCCCTCGTATTTACATAATCATGAATATACGCTTACAAAGCTGTATTTAAGGCTTTTGGTGTATACAGTTGACATAACGTTAGGTTTCTACAACATATTGAAACATCTGCAATAGATTTTAAGCGTTAAACTAATGAAAGTTAAGATGAATGCACTGGCCTTTGTTACTTGATATCATTTACTTGATACTTGATTAGAGTTACTTGATACTCGTTAAGCGTCGATATTCTTTGTAATATACAGTCATTGTGATAGCAGTACTATATCGATAGTATCGTAATAATATTGTGACTTTTACAATCGGTCAAACTATCGGGCTATATTATTGGCGCAATATGAAAAAACGAAATGCAATTTATATGGTTTTTGGTTTATAATTCATATGTCCAATTAAATTTTGGTTTATAATTCTAATAATTGATGTGTTTGTTCGTTTCAATTGCTAAAGGTTAAAGGAATTTGAAGGAATCATATAGAAGTAACGAATAAATAGAATAGAAACTTTAATTAGTGGTCGAATTGCAACATTCGGACTACAATCGGTAATTATTAAAATGTGATAGTGAAAGTGAATGAAAAAAAGGGATATATACTCGATTATGGATCTTAAAAGTGCATTAAACTCTTATAAAGGTAGAATTAAAAACAAAAATCGGAGACATGAATTTATGAACTTGATTTCCTCTAAACTTCGGATAGTATATTATTAAGAAGTTGATCCCGTTTCCTAAATACCTAAACACCCACTGATCCACACTGGGACCACATGAAGGGTGATAATCTGTTCTCTCTTTGATATCTATCCATTGAGATGTGCTCCAATAGTGGGAACATTATCAGGTTGATGATGATAGTTCTACCGATGTTTTGTACTGTTACCCAATGTTCTTGCAGCGGATCACCGTGCAGCATCCCATCCTTGTCCGTTGGCAGGGGTGGTAAGTAGTCCCGATCACGGAACACCTCTCTCAAGACAGGCCTCACGTCACCGCAAACAGAACTGTAACAAATACGATGACGTCTTAAATACTTGTATTGAAAGAAAAAAAAAGTCTGCTATATCACGGAAAAGTTATCAGTCGGATGCATGAGCATCGAATATATACCCTTTAAGAGCCTACTAATGTTGCATTGCAAATAAAATTTTTGTGCTTACAGGCCCTATCTGAGGATAGAATTACACAAAATAACATTCATAACCCACAACACGCGCCTAAGGTAAGATATTATAATTTAGTCACTAAGTCTATGACTCACTAATGCCAAAGTTAATTAGAATCTACAGACTGAAACAATTTACATACCATCGAGTTTTTAATGAAAAAAGCAAATAAGTCTGTTCCTTCACTCGTGTATAATTTGGCAATATTAGTTAGTATAAATGCTATAATAATCATGATACTTGGTAGGAATTAATTCATCATCCTTTTATATATATTTTTTACATATCATATATTTTTCATTGTCAAATCTCTACAAACGGCAGAGTCAATCGATTAGTATGTACATAACGCTTAAAGGGAGGCACGTTATTCAAGATTACTTTATTTTGGACAGATAAAACGTATAAGATGTATAATAACACATAATTTATATCAGACTTAAAAATGAGGATATACAACTTCATGTTATCGTTACTATTCACGGCGTTGTTTCATTTACAATGTTACACCGACTTCGTTTCAAGCAACATCTTCTCATTAAGGTCCGCGAAATTACTCTTAACTTAATCAGTACGTGATTCAGAAAAAGGTCCATTTCATTGTCGAAATAAATTTTCTTTTTTCAGTTGGAGGTAACCGAAGCAATCAATACGCTATTGGCGACGTGTCGTCAAACTTCATTCAATGAAGCAGATACGTGACCGAAATGAATTCGATGATGAAATCAGCAGTTTGTACTAAAATGTAAAGTGTTGCAAAGGTACACTATGAATCCGTCTCATGGTGTTTTAATAGCTATTCATTCATAAGGACCACATGAGATAGATATTAAAATATATATAAACACACAACATCATAAGTATTGCTCAGATTCCAAGATTAGTAGCTGATGAAGATGAGAATGTACGAGACAACGGAGGTGTCACAACACCCAGGCTCAAGAAAATACAGAACAATCCATTTTCTATATTGGCCTGACCGTGAATCGAACTCGGGACCCCAGAGATGGTGACACCTCGAACCCAGCCTGCGAACCATTCGAGTAAGGAGGTTGTATAATAAAAAGAAATCTTTATTAGATAAAATAAGACAAAAATTAAGGATAACCTTACATAAATAATGACTTTACTATCTCTTCCAAGCGACCGATTTGGGAGAAGCTATTCTGCGATAAGATAATGGCAAAATACTACTTCAATTTATTAGTATTCTTAAAACTAGGAATATTAGAAAATAGCGACTTCCTCTTTTCTATTTCGAAAGGCTTTTTTTTTAAAGCAGGTTCCCCCACTTTTGAGCAGGCTGTCTTTTTTGCTTTTTTGTTTTTATGCTTTTTGTATTTTTCTTTTATATAAACCTTATTGGTCTGTTTGTCTTGGGGATCGCTCTTTTTCCCTCTTTTGAGCATATTCTTATTTCTAATACATTCCTTATTCTTATTCTATAGTATACATTTTCTGATTTTTTTACATTTTCTTATATCTATTTACAATTTTCTTTTGTCTATTAATTGTTTACACATTTTGATTTACAATTCTATTTATTTACTATATCTATTTTCCATTACAGGTTACTTACTATTCTAATATCACAGATTATCCATTGTATTGCTTCTACACATTCAATATACTCAATCTTTGTTTCTTTTTACAATTTTTTCTACCATTATGCAAGCATATTTTATAAATTCCTCTCTTTCCTCTTTATTCCCTATAATTTTTTCTAGGTTTAGCCTACTAAGTTTTGTATTAATTGCGCTTTGTAGAGTGTGCCTATCCATATTGAGTATCGGGCATTCTAGAAGGATATGAAATATATCCTGCTTTGTTTGGGGGTCGCACTCACAATATGGGGTATCCCTGCATTCATGGAGGTAAGATCTGAACCCTCCATGCCCCGTTAGCAACTGTGCAGCCCATCTGTCCACTCTCATCTTACGCACGACGCCGAAAACCAATTCTCCACTGGGGAAAGGCCTTCGTCGTGGCCACGGTGCTTTCGCTCCTATAACGTTTGTCCCATTCTGCTCTTGTCGAACTGCGTAAATGCCTTTTGACAAAAGAGATGGGACACCCGTCATAGTGCGATCTGCACTTCAATCCGAGAGCCGCTCCCTTCGCACGCTCGTCCGCCCTCTCGTTCCCAATCACGCCGACGTGGGCCCTGATCCAAAATAGGGAGACCTTGCGGTCTAATTCCCTAAGTTGGATCAGGTTGCCTTGTATCGCCTTCGTGATTGGGTGCGATGAGTCTGGGTCTTGCAGCGACTGTAGAGCGGATCTCGAATCGCTAAAAGGTTACTGATTTCGAAAGGTTACTGATTTCTGACATAAACAAATAATCTTATATTTGATTCAAAACAAACCTAACTGTTCAATTATAAAAGAAGATCAAAGGGTCAAGGAAGAAACTTTAACAAGCTAATAATAATGACTTACCCTTTCTGCGGTATAAGCGGAAGGTTGCCTGCCATTTTTAATTGAAAGTAATATATTATTCAATAGCTATATAAAAAATTAATTTAAATGGTTTGATTGGAATTGTTATCGTTTGACGTGAATATTAAAAATATTATAATGACAGTTATCATGACAACGTTGTGTTTATTGTGTGACATATATCATCAGTGATTCCCGAGTTTTTTGGATTCAGATCTGTGGCACTTTTTTCTTGTATAAGAATAGGTCTGTTTTATATTTAGGTATAGACTCAGGTGTAGGTTTTTAGTCGTTAGCGTCACTACAATTTGAAGTTGTATAAGCATTGTATATAATTTTATTTTAATTAATAAATTAACATTGAAGCACTACGTCCGTGTCTAACTAGATCTGGGCGACCAGTTCGTGTAGCGACTCGTTATGTTTAGTATATTATCTGTGTAAATGT